CGCTAGAAGAGACGTCTTGCTTGTTGGTGCGCACTCAGCGGCGCGGGGTGATGCGCGCAGCCGGACTTACCAAGGGGCAAACTGGGTCACTAGCAAAAGCTTGCAGGGTTTCTGGGACTGAGCCACTTGGGGACGGGTCCGCTGGCCTGTTGGTGGTGGTGGTGGCTTGCTTTTGAGTTCTCAGGTGCCTGGGGAATATTGGTAGGCTGGTTCTGTGCCTATGTATGCATGGAGGGATGGGAGAGGGTGGGCGGGGAGGTTTGTGCTCTGTACTCTGGGCAGGTTTATAACGGGAGTGGAGTATTGGCATCCTGCTGGGCTGGGGGAGGCCCTGCAGGATGTTCTCTAGTGTGATTTTTGTAGAAGTGGCCACCCAGCGGTGCCAAGTTGGGAAGCTCGTGTGGTGTATGTAACGGTCAGGTGGGAGAAGTCGCTGTGTACTCTGCCTACACCCCCACGTTCCCAGCCCCGCCTGGTGATGGAGGCTGTGGCTCAGAATCCAGGAGGCAGCATAGGAAGTCACCATCCTTGTGCCCCGGGCGCTCATACCGTTGACACAGGCACCAGTGAGCACAGAGGCGTAAGAAGTGATAAGGTGGCCACTAGGCACACAACCCTGACGGAGGCAGTGGAGGGCGAAAAGTGCTCACTTGCCTTGATTACCAGAGGCAGCGATGGGCTCTCCAGGTGGCTGCCTGCCATACAGGAGACGCCAGTCTGTCCCTGAGTGGGGAAGGTCTCCTGGAGAAAGGCATGGCAACCCACTCCAGTATTCTTGCCTGGAGAATCNCTCCAGTATTCTTGCCTGGAGAATGCCATGGACAGAGGAGCCTGGCAGGCTACAGTCCATAGCATCGCAAAGACTTGGACATGACTGAAGCGGCCTAGCATGCATGCATGTATCATCAAACTGACTATCATAGGTAACCCAGAGCCCCCAGCCACCCCAAGACCCAGTCTTGCCCACTAGAAGGCTGAAGACAAAGCTGTACCCAAGAGTGGGCCCACATTAACCCTTGGATCCCTGGCACCCCAAAACCAGGTGTAGAACAGGGTCTTGTCTGCCAGGAGGTCAGCATGGATCCCTGAGCTGACCTAATCCGTGAAAAGATGGACACCAGCCCCAAGAGCCCTGAGCCTCAGCCCATCCACTCTGTGTTAACACCAACTCCAGGACCCTGTCCCTGAAAGCAGTGTCCCTGGGACCTGGTCCTGCCCACCTTGAGCCTGGTGCTGCTCACCAGCACTAATGTCAAGACCCACAGGGCCCCAGCCCACCAGCAAACTGACACAACCTCCAAGATGCCTTGCGCCCCTCAGCCAGCCATGTCGGGATCTGACCCTAGCCATCAACTGGTCAAAACCAGCTATGGAACCCACCTGTGCTGTGACCCCAGCCACCAGCAGTTCTGGGGCCCCTGACCCTGCAGCTGCCACCCTGAGACCAGGTTCTATCCCCCCCAAAACACACACACACACACACACACACACACACACACACACACATCCACCCACTTTGTGACCTGGTCCTACCTATCAAAGGGCTGGCTCCAGGACTGGGATTCCCCTGACCTTGCAGCCAATCACACTAGGATCCAGACCTACACACCAGTGACTAGCAGCCTCAACACAGAATGGAGCCTGGCAGTCAGTCATCCAGACCAGGAGCCCGCCATTCCTATAGTCATGCACACAGTAGGCAGACCATCACAGCAGAGGTGTTCAGACAGCCCAGCTTAGATTCCTGAAGACAAGATGTGGCTTGGCATTCAGTACCTTTCCTTCACAATTGATGATGTATCTGCAATCCAGCTTCATCTTCCTCACCAACTAGAATCTCCTTTATGTGGCACTTTTTTCAAGTTTGATTTAAAAAAAAAAAAGTGCAGTGTTGTAGGATTTAGATGTTCTTGCTTACGAGCATTATATCAGCCTTTTAGAATGTTAATTTATACAAACATGGACTTACGTTTCAGTGAAATTTATTTTGATATTCCTTTTAAAAAGTAGTTTTTGTGGACAGTGAGAGAAGGGGCAGGATGGTCAGGTTTCATTGAGGTCCCACTTTGATCAGAGACCAAAATTATCCTGAAGTTACCATCTGGGCATGGATCTGGGTTTGTGCTTGAGTATGACAGTTATTTTTAAATTTTGTAAGCAGGTAGAGAGTGCTTGCCCAACATTTGCAAGTATACAGAAGGTGAACAGTTCTCTTGATATGTATAGAGACTGTTTCATCTTCTTTAAACTCATCTGGAAAATTGAAAATTTCAGAATTTTCTGAATGCAATCTACCATATTCTATAATGGCATACTATATAATGCTTCTTGTAAAAGTATAGCATTGCAGGCCAATAATAATTGTACTGTAAACCATCTGGAAAAAAATCTTAGTCAAGATATGTTTACTTTGAAAATCCTCACAGGAATAAAGAATCCAACATTCTGAATAAGAGAAGAAATTATTCAGATACATAAAGCAAAGCAAATACATAAAACAAACAACACTTGTATAATTTAATTATGGGCATGCTATTAACTTGATTTCTTTCTTGGTTCCAGGAAACTCTGAATGACGTTATACATTTCTATCTAGGATGGAATTATACAGCATTTCTAGTCCATTTTTTCCCCTATTGTAAAATGAGAACCTATAGCTCAAACTGAGTAAATTTAATGTTATTAGTAAAATCCAACTCTATACTGATCATTAAACAGTGTTTTTAATAACTTCATCCTTTTTTTGTTTGTTTTTTGCTTTTGTTTTGGGCAGTTGATGGAGATGCATTCATATATTAAGATCAAAATACTGGAAATGTTGAAAACATTTTGCCAATAGGTGGATTTCAGCACATGGTGTAAATTAAATGTTGGACAGGGTATCAAGAGAGGAATCTGAAATTTAGAAAATGGTGAAAAAGGAGAATAATATTTCACTTGTTTAGAGTTCTCTCTTGACTAGTCTGTCAATCTGAAGACCTAGATCCAAGAAGTAATTACAGCAAAGTTTCCTCAGGGATCAAAATAGATTTATCTCCCTTCTCCTTTAGGTCCTTAATCTTATAGGAGAGGCCTCTGCATTCTTTTAGCACTTTAGGACTTTAAATATCATAATGTTTTACATCATTTCTAGCAGATTCATAAGATTTCCAAGAGCACAGATAATTAAAAGGAAGAGGACTTCTTGAAGCAGGAGTAACACTGTTCTAGGGAAGAACCCCCGACAAAAAAAGGCCAGAGATAAAAATTCTAAAATAATAGCAATAGAGTTTACTGTCAGGATACATTGGGTAAACAGCCCAAACAGTTACTGCAGGAAGCTTTTAATGGCATGTACAATCCATTAATCAGTGAATGAAGATTAAATTATGTTTACAGTAACATCCAAGAAACCAATTTTTTATGTAAGGTTATTCAAAGTAATAAAATTTGATTATTTAAAGGGTATCCATTTACTTATAAAATGTTCAATTCACTAACCTAGACAGCATATTAAAAAGCAGAGACATTACTTTGCTGACAAAGGTCCATATAGTCAAAGCTACAGTTTTTCCAGTAGTCATGTATGGATGTGAGAGTTGGACTATAAAGAAAGCTGAGCACCAAAGAATTGATGCTTTTGAACTGTGGTGTTGGAGAAAACTCTTTAGAGTCCCTTGGACTGCCAGGAGATCAAACTAGTCAGTCCTAAAGGAAATCAGTCCCGAATATTCATTGGAAGGACTGATGCTGACGTTGAAGCTCCAATAGTTTGGCTACCTGATGCAAAGAATGACTCATTAGAAATGATGCTGGGGAAGACTGAAGGCAGGAAGTGAAGGGGACGACAGAGGATGAGATGGTTGGATGGCATTATCAGCTCAATGGACATCAGTTTGAGCAAGCTCTGGAATATGGTGGAGGACAGGGAAGCCTAGCGTGCTTCAGTCCATGGGGTAGCAAAGAGTTGGACGTGAGCGACTGAACAACAGCCACAACAATTCACTGATACAAAGCAAATAGAAGGAAGTTATATTTTTAAATACTTTAGTCCATATTTATTTTGACCTATGAAATTCACAATGTTTATTTGATATTACTCTTACCCAGTATGTACAGAGTGTAGTACAGAAAGAAGGCATATGATCTCTGCCCTCTAGGACATTGCCTTCTGAGAGGACACTGAGTCTAAACTATGGAAGAGTAATCTGATCAGAGTGCTATATACTATACAAGACTTCTTAGAAAGAGGTGAGTTTTGAAATGATGAATTTAGAAAGAAGAGGGAAGGAGACATACCTATAAATACATTTTAAAACCCAAAACATAGATGCTATCTTTTCAATTGTGTTGAATGAAAGTTCACCTTCTTCCTCAACAAACCAAAAAAGCTCATAGATGGTTATTTCAAGTAAGCAGGGCACATCCTTTGCTACTATTGCCACATGGGTAAAAGCATGGGCGTGTATGCGTGCTCAGTTGTGTCCAGTTCTTTTCGACCCCATGGACTATAGCCTGCCAGGCTCCCCTGTCCATGGGATTTTTTCAGGCAAGTATACTGGAGTGGATTGTCATTTCCTCTTCCAGGGGATCTTCCTAACTGAGGGATCGGACCCAGATCTCCTGCTTCTCCTGCATCCTCAGGCAATTCTTTACCACTTAGCCACCTGGGAAAGCATGAGACAGTCATTGAATCTTTCTACTTATTCTGTAGTACCTACCTGAGGCCAGGCTGCAGTCCCTGGCTGATGAAAGAGATAAAGTACTTTACTTGCATGTTCTTATTCTCTCTATTCCTAGAGGCTTGTGGTGATCCACCAAGATTTGACACTATGAGGCTCCAGGGTGCACCTAAACCCAATTATCGTCCTGGGGAATGTGTACAATATGAGTGTCGTCTAGGTTTCAAGCCCAAGGTTCCTACTCTCCCGAGATCTGCTGTTTGTCAAGATAATAATACATGGTCATCTCTCCAGGATGCCTGTGTAGGTAAATAAACAAACAAAAATGTTTTATAGTACTGGATATTTACACACATCTTAGTGTGCCTATTCCACTACTTCAGTGATGATTTTATCATGTGAATATAGGTTTTTAGATATCTGTGCATTTGTTCAGGCTTTGAAAAATCCCCAGGGAATCTTTTTCTTGGCAATTGTTTACCTGGGTAAATATGAATCTTTTTTGGCCATATAATATGGAAAGAAAATAATAGTTAAATGAATAATAAGATTCCCATGAATTCAAGCAAGCAAAGTAGACTTTTGAATTTGATTTAAACCTATTTTTGAAATTAGTATAAACCAACATATTTGAACATTTCCTTTTAGAAAAATCATGTCCTAATGTAGGAGATCCTGTGAATGGCCAAGTCAACTTCGTGAATGGAAGTGCTCTGTTTGGTTCACAGGTTCACTTTACTTGTAATCCAGGGTGAGTAAGATGCTCATTACAGAAAATAAGGTTCAGTATTACTAATTCCATTTTTGTTTTGCTCCTCTTTTAAAACATTTCTATAAACTAGATTTCATTTTGTTTTCTATGTGACAATTTGTACTTGTAGTCAAACAGTTACTGCACTATTTACGAAGACCTGAAAAATGTGTAATTAGAAAGAAGTTTAAATTGAAGTAAAGCAAAACTGTATAACTTACTATGTGTGTGTTCAGTCGCTCAGTCATGTCAGCTCTCTGAAACCCCATGGACTGCCAGGGGCCTGCCAGGCTCCTCTGTCCATGGAGTTTTCCAGGCAAGAATACCTGGGTGGGTCGTCACTTCCTCCTCCAGGGGATCTTCCCAATGCAGGGATCAAACCTGCGTCTTTTGTGTCTCCTGCATTGACAGGGGATACTTTAACTAGCATCACCTGGGAAGCCCATGTAACTTACTATATGTAATAATAAACCTATTGTGTAAATTAAAAATGTAGTAATCATGGTAACTTTATTCTTGACAATAATTTTATTTATTTATTTATTTATTTTATTAGTTGGAGGCTAATTACTTTACAATATTGTAGTGGTTTTTGTCATACATTGACAAGAATGAAATTGTCAGTTCTTAGAGTTGAAATGGGGCTTATGGAAATAGGAAGAGAACTGTCAACCAGACATACTCTTATTTTGAGATAATCTGTAGTTTTAAGGGGCTTCCCTGCTGGCTCAGAGGTTAAAGTGTCTGCCTGCAGTACAAGAGACCCGGGTTTGATCCCTGAGTCGGGAAGATCTCTTGGAGAAGGAAATGGCAACCCATTCCAGTATTCTTGCCTGGAGAATCCCATGGAGGGAGGAGCCTGGTAGGCTACAGTCCATAGGGTCATTTAAGGACCTAAATTGATCTGCTTAGCCTGGATGATAATGTTGATCATAATCTCTTAATGGGAAAACCTTACTTTTGAGCTGCTGCAAACGAGTGAAACATCTCAAAAAGAGATACTGAGAATTTAATAATAGCTTTTTTTTTTTTCCTACAGGGCTCCTTTAATATTACATATTGGAGATACTGGGCATTTATTTTAAAATATGATTTTAGAATTGAAATGTAATACACTGGAAATGCAACAGGTTTTCTTAATGTTAACTTTAATCACATTTTTCTGTAATCATTTAATAGTTCTAATATTTTTGTGTATGTGTGGAATCTTTAGAGATTTATACATATAAAATCATGCTACATGCAAGCAGTGATAAGCTGAGCTTTTTTCTTTCCAATTTGGATGCCTTTTATTTCTTTTTGTTGCTTAATTGCTCTGCCTAGAACTTTCAGTACTATTTTGAATCGATATGGTAAAAGTAAGCATCTTTGCCTTTGTTCATCTTAGAGGAAAATTTTTCAGCTTCTCACCACTGAGTATGATATTGTGGTGCGTGTTTCTCATATATGGTCTTTATTACCCTGAAGCAGTTTCCATCTGTTCCTAGATTGTTTAATATTTTTTATCATGAAAAATGTAGAATTTTGTCAAATGCTTCTTCTTCATCACTTGAGATGATCATGTGGGTTTTTTCCTTCTTTCTGCTGATGTGATATATTATATTGATTGACCTTCATGTTGAACCATCCTAGCATTCCAGGAATAATTTCTGCTTGGTCATGCTTTTTAATCCTTTCTATATGCTGATGAATTGTTTGCTAGTATTACATTGAGGATTTTTACATCAGTATTTATAAGGAATACTGTTCTGTAGCTTGGTTACTTGTAATGTCTTATTCTAGCTTTGGTGTCATTATTACACTGGTATCATAGAATAAATTCAGAAGACTACCTTTCTCTTCAATTTTTGTAACACTTTAAGAAGAATTGGTATTACTTCTCTTTTAAATGTTTGGCAGAATTAAACAGTGAAGACATCAGATCCAGGACTTTTTTCGTTATTGGGAAATTTTTGATTACTGATTCAATCTCCTCACTAGTCATAATCAATTCAGATTTTGTATTTTTTAATGAAGTCTTGGTAGAGTTTGTGTTTATACAAATTTGTCTTTTATATCTAGGCTATCCATTTGTTGTCATAAAATTATTCACAGAAGTCTCATAATATTTTTTAACTCTGTAGAACTAAGGGAAATGTCTCCATTTTCATTTCTGATTTAGGTAATTTGGATCTTCCTTTTTGTCTCAGTCCATCTAGCTAAGGGTATATCAGTTTTCTTCCTCTTTTGGAAAACCAACTTTTGGATTCATTTGGTATTCTCTACTAATTTCTCTTCTGCTCTAGTCTTTATTGTTTACTTCTTTCTGCTAGTTTTGTGTGTATATCTTTGTTCAGTAGTTCTTTAAGTTGTAACATTAGGTGGATTATTTTATTTTAGAGCTCTCTTCTTACTTTTAATTAAAGTCTAGTTTACCTACAAACTAAATTAGTCCAGATGCATCAGATAGGGATTTGCTATTTCTATACATTTCAAAGTGATTAACATGATAAGTCTAGATACAATTTATCACCATACAAAGTTATTACACTTCATTGACTATTTTCCCATTATATCCTTGCAACATTTCTTTTGTAACTAGAAATTTGTACTTCTTAATATCACTCATTTAATTAATTTCTCATCCACCCCTCCCCAGGGCAAACACTTTTTTGTTTTTTGTAACTAGAGTCTTTTCATACTGTTCATGGGGGGAGGCCTGGAGTGCCACAGTCCATGGGGTTGCAAAGAGTCAGACATGACTGAGCGACTGAACGGAACTGAACTGAACTGGAGACTGTTTCTGTTTTTTTGTTTCTTCATTTGCTTTGTATTTAAATTGCAAACACAAACGATATGCAATATTCTATTTTTCTGTCTCACTTGTCTCACTTAGCATAATATTCTATAGGCCAATCCACGTTGTCACTAATGACAAGATTTCCCAGTTTTTATGGCTGACTTACAGTCCATTGTGTGTGTGTGTGTGTGTGTGTGTGTGTGTGTGTGTTCTTAATCCAGTTAGTCTACTGAAGGGTCTTTAAATGAATATAATCATTTTATATTAGTTCGGTTCAGTTCAGTCACTCAGTCGTGTCCAACTCCTTTCAGCCCCATGGACTGCAGCACACCAGGCCTCCCTGTCGAACACCAACTCCCAGAGTTTACTCAAACTCATGTCCATCCATCTCATCCTCTGTCGTCCCCTTCTCCTCCTGCCTTCAATCTTTCCCAGCATCATGGTCTTTTCAAATGAGTCAATTATTTGCATCAGCTGGCCAAAGTATTGGAGTTTCAGCTTCAGCATCAGTCCTTCCAATGAATATTCAGGTCTGATTTCCTTTAGGATGGCCTGATTGAATCTCCTTGCAGTCCAAGGGACTCTCAAGAGTCTTCTCCAACACCTCAGTTCAAAAGCATCAATTCTTTGGCGCTCAGCTTTCTTTATAGTCCAACTCTAACTGGAAAAACCATAGCTCTGACTAGATGAACCTTTGTTGGCAAAGTAATATCTCTGCTTTTTAATATACTGTCTAGGTTGGTTATAACTTTTCTTCCAAGGAGCAAGTGTCTTTTAGTTTCATGGCTGCAGTCACCATCTACAGTGACTTTGGAGCCCCCAAAAATAAAGTCTGCCACTGTTTCCATTGTTTCCCCATCTATTTGCCATGAAGTGATAGGACCAGATGCCATAATCTTTGTTTTCTGAATATTCAGCTTTAAGCCAACTTTTTCACTCTCCTCTTTCACTTTCATCAAGAGGTTTTTTAGTTCCTCTTCACTATCTGCCATAAGGGTGGTGCCATCTGCATATCTGAGGTTATTGATATTTCTCCTGGCAGCTTGTGCTTCATATTAGTTAGTCTACTAAAATGAATATAATCATTTTAACAGTATTAACTCTTCTAATCCATGAGCATGGTATANAGAGGATCTTTAATTCCTCTTCACTTTCTACCATAAGGGAGGTGTCATCTGAGTACCTGAGGTTATTGATATTTCTCCCGGCAATCTTGATTCCAGCTTGTGCTTTATCCATCCTGGAATTTCACATGATGTACTCTGCATATAAGTTAAATAATATATTATCTTATATATTACCTATATTATACTGAGGTATGTTCCTTTTATGGGGACTGTCCCAAGTGGTTCAGTGGTGAAGAATCTGCCTCAATGCAGAAGCCATAGGAGATGCAGGTCAATCCCTGGGTTGGGAAGATACCCTGGAGAAGGAAATGACAACCCACTCCAGTATTTTTGCCTAGAGAAACCCATGGACAGGTTAGCCTGGTTGGCTACAGTCCATACAGTCGATGCAGTCCCAGGTGTGTCCACCTGAGCACGCATGCAATGCTTTCTTCCTTCCCTCTATATCCATGTTGTTGAGAGTTTTTATCATAGATGGACCTGGAATTTGTTAAAAGCTTCCTGCATTTGTGAGATAATCTATGATTTTTATTCTTCAGTGTATTAATGTAGTATATCACGCTGACTGATTTGTGACTTTGAACCATCCATGCAGCCCTAGTAGGGCTTCCCTAGTAGTTCAGCTGTTAAAGAATCCACCTGCAATGCAGGAGACCCCCGATGGATTCCTGGGTGGAGATGATCCCCTGGAGGAGGGCAGGTTAATACACTGCAATATTCTTGCCTAGAGAATCCCCATGGACAGAGGAATCTATAGGGTGACAGTCCATGGGTCACAAAGAGTTGGACATGACAGAGCATTATACTAAGCACAGCACATGCACCCCTGAGATAAATCCCACTTAATCATGGTGTATGACCCTTTTAAAGTATTTTTTATTTATTTGCTAATATTTTATTAAGCATTTTTGTATCTAAGTTCTTCAAGGATATTGGTCTATAATTTTCTTTTTCTGTGGTGTCTTTGTCTGGCTTAAGTATTAGAGTGATTTTAGCCTTTTACAATGCATTTGAAAGTGTTTCTTTCATTTAAATTTTTTGAAATAGTTTGAGAAGAATAGGTGTTCTCTTTCAATTCAATAAGGCATAGTTAGTTTGCAGTATTCTATTAGTTTCAGGGGTACAATAAAGTAATTAAAAACTTTTATAGATTAGACTTGATTTATCATTATTACAAAATATTGGCCATATTACCTGGGTTGCATAATATATTGTTAGTTTGAGAAGGATGTCAACTCTTCTCACAATGTTTGTTAGAAGTCACCTTATGTGACTTTTGTTTGTTGAGAGTTCTTTTGTTAGTGACTTGATTTCATTACTGATAATTAATTAGTTAATATTTTCTATTTCTTCCTGGTAGAGTCTTAGGAGATTGTGCCTTTCTCAGAATTTGTGCATTTCTTCTTAGTTGTTCATTTTATTGCCATATAGTTGTTCATGGTGATCTTTTACGATCCTCTTTGTTTCTTAAGTGTTGGTTATAAGTTCTCCACTTTGATTTCTGATGTTACTGATTTAGACCCTCTTTTTTTAAAAAATTGAGTCAGGCTAAATGTTTTAACTTTCTTTTTTATGTTTTCAAAGTACCAGGTCTTTTTTTCTTTTGTCCTTTTTTTTTTTCTATTTCATTTATTTCTGCCTTGACCTTTATGATATCTTTTTCCTTCTACTAACTTTTGATTTTGTTTGGCCTTCATTTCCTACTTCCTTGAGATGTAAGTAGGTGTTTAATTGAGATTTTTCTTATTTCCTAAGGTAAGCTTCTATTGCTATAAAGTTTCCTCTTGGAACTGCTTTTTCTGCATCTCATAGAATTTAAGTCATTGTATTTTTGTTTTCATTTGTCTCCAGTTTTNACCTTCCTACTAGTTTTATAAATGGTTTATCTACTACCTTTCCTGTATGTTTCCCTTTACAAATAAGATAATTCCTTCACAATCTTCATATTTTTTAGTTGTGGCCTTTTCTTTTGTACTTAAAAAAAAAAATCCTTTTAACATTTTTTGGTGAAGCCCGTTTAGTGGTACTGAATTCTTTTAGTTTTGCTTGTCTGTAACACTGTTTCATGGAGAAGGCAATGGCACCCCACTCCAGTACTCTTGCCTGGAAAATCCCACGGACGGAGGAGCCTGGTAGGCTGCAGTCCATGGGGTCGCGAAGAGTTGGACACAACTGAGCAACTCACTTTCACTTTTCACTTTCATGCATTGGAGAAGGAAATGGCAGCCCAGTCCAGTGTTCATGCCTGGAGAATCCCAGGGACGGGGGAGCCTGGTGGGCTGCCGTCTATGGGGTCGCACAGAGTCGGACACGACTGCAGTGACTTAGCAGCAGCAGCAGCAGCAACATTCTTTCAAATCTAAATATCTTTGCCAGGTACAGTATTTTTATATATAGATTTTTAGCTTTCATACCTTTAACCTTATCATGCTACTGCCTTTTGATCTTTAAACTTTCTTCTGAAAATGCTTATAATCATATGGGAATTTGTTATATGCAGCCAGCTGCTTTTCTTGTGCTGCTTTTAAAAATCTCTCTGTCTTTAATTTCTGCCAGTTTGATTACAATTCATCTTGGTGTGGATCTCTTTGTGTTCACTGTGTTTGGGACTCTGCTTTCTGGACCTAGAAATCTATTTCCTTTCCCATGTTAGGGAAATTTTCAGCTATTTGTTCTTTAATTAAATTCTCTGCTCCTTTCTCTCCCTCTTCTTCTGGGGCCCCATGATGCAAATTATTTAGTATGTTTGATATTGTCTCAGAGAGCTCTTAAACCATCTGCATTTTTTTCAGTTTTTTTTCTAATCAGCTTTAGTGATTTCCTCTATTCTGTCTTCCAGTTGCTGATCCATTGTTTTGAATCATGTAATCGCCTGTTGAATCCTTCTGGTGTAATTTTATTACAACTATTGTATTCTTCAGCTCTGTTAAGGTTTTTTAAATATTTCATAATTTATTAAATTTCTTACTATATTCATCCATTCTGCTTCTGACTTTTTTGAAATTTCTTATAATCATTACCTTGAACTTTTTACAAGGTATATTGCTTGTCTCCACTCCAGGTAGTTCTTGTTCTGGGCTACTTCCTTCCCATGGGACATATTTTTTCTTGCCTTATTTTACCTAATTCTCTGTGTTTTCTTTGTTCTAGGTAGTTCAGATATGTTTCTGAATTTTGGAAAAGTGGTCTTATGTAGAAAACATTCTATATGGCCCAGCAATGTACTCCCATCTGTTTACTATATGTGTATCTTCTAATGTTCCTTATACGGGCTGCAAGGCTCTTTATTTATGGCAGAGTCAGCTACTGGGGAACACTGATAGCAGTGCTAGCCCTCAGATGGGTTGGCTGACAGGCCATGCCTCATACAGAATCTGATGGCCCACTAGTGGGTGAGACTGGGCCTTGGTGCAGCTGTCTGCATGGCCCAGGGAGTCATGGGACGGGTGTTGACTGGCAGGACCAGGCCCCAGGGTGTCTGGCTGCTCATCCCAGTGCATCCTGGGACTGTTGCCAGTTCGCTGGTGAATGGTAAGCCCCCAACACTAATAAGCAAGGAAGAGGTTCTCAAAATGGTATTTTTTGTGAGCATGACTGTCCTCCTGGTACAATGAATTCCCAAATGGCTACCACCAGTCTCTGTGTTCCCAGAAGGAGGCCCAGTTGCCTCTTGGGGAGGCTCTGCAAGATCACACGCGGTCTGATCCAGGCTCATTTGAAGTTACTGTCTCTGGCCTATGTTTCAAAGTGTGCAGGTTTTACATTTTTTAATGTAAACATTTATAAATTTAAACTTCCTTCTTGTCACATCTTTTGCTGTATTCCATTCATAAGTTTTGGTAGGTTATATTTTCATTTCCATTTTTTACCAAGTCCAAGTACATTTCTCCTTGATGCATGACAGGACAATAAATCTGAGAAGTGAAGTGTTGAGGTGAAGAATACAACTTTACTCAGAAAGCTGGCAGACTGAGAAGATGTCAGACTAATATCTCAAAATAACCATCTTATTGTGATCTAAATGCCAGGTTCTTTTATAGAACAGAAAAAGGGTGGGGGGTGAGGAAGTAAAGTTTAAAAAAAAAAAAAAGGCCATTAATCTTCTGGAATAGCCAGCCTCCGGGAGGGGATGTGAAATTTTTTCCCTCGTTGTGGGACAGGGTTCTGAACAAAGGCCTTAGATAGGCCATTATGTATGATTACAATAATAAAAGCAAAGAAAAGCAAAGGTTAAAGTCAAAGATACAAGCCCAACTTGGAGTCAATATTGACTCTTCCCTGTAACACATTCATGTCAAAGTGTATTCTAAGTGCCCTTATGATTTCTTCTTTGTCATTGGTGCATAAAAGGACTTTTTAAATTTTAGCAATTTTGAGAAGTTTCCGATTTTCCCTTTGATTTTGATTTTTGAGTTTGTCCTGTGGTAATCAAAGAACATATTTTTATGGTATCTACCTTTTTTTCCCCTCCCCAACCTGATATCGACCTTCATTCCTATTACTTTTGGCCTAGCAAAATTAACTACTATTAAGTATCTATTACCTATTATGTAATTACATTATGAAGAATATTAATTTTTTTCATCTGTGACCTAACATGTGGTCTAACCTGGGAAATGTCCAGTATGCACTTGAGAAGACTACATTCTGTTGTTAGATAGAGTGCCCTGTGTGTGTCAGTGAGCCCTGGTTTGTCTTATATTGTTGCAGTCATCTACTTCCTTACTTATCTTCCACCAAGTTGTTTAGTACATTTTTATGAGTGGGGTATTGAAGTTTCCAACTATTACTCTAGAAATGCCTATTTTGTATATGCCTCTCACTCCTTTCAGTTCTATCATTTTTTGCTTCGTATATTTTGATGGCTTCTTATTAGATGCATCAATGTTTATAATTGTTATATCTTATTCAAGTACTTAATCCTTTTTAAAATATGATGTCCTTCTTTGCCTATACACTTTTTGTCTAGAGTCTATTTTGCCTAAATTAGTATAGTCATCCCTGCTATCTTTTAGACACTATTAGCATGGAATATATTTTTGCACCCTTTCATATTGAACACATTTGTGTCTATGGATGTCATGTGAGTCTCTTGGAGATAGCGTATAGCTGAATCATGTGTTTTATGCACTCTGCCAATCTCTGACTTTTGATTAAAGAGTTTAATACATTTAAATTTAATAAATTACCAAAAGGAGGGACTTATTTCTGTAATTGTGCCATTTGCTTTCTATAAGCCTTTTAGCTTTTTTGTTCCTAATTTCCTGCATTACTTTTTTCTTTTGTGTCTAGTTGATTTTTATAGTGAAATGAATAGCTTCTGCATTATTTCCTTTTTTGTACATTCTATAGCTATTTTGTTTATGGTTACCATTGGGACTACATTTAACTTCCTACAGTTACAGAACTCCAAGTTGAATTAATACCAAATTAACTACAAAAATTGTAGTAGCAAACCACCTGTAATCGAATGATATCTTTTAAAATTGCTTATGAATTTACTTTAAGTGAGATCTTTATTTTTCCACAACAATTAGAGTTACTGTCTCATGTCCTATTATTTCACCTTGCAAGACTCCCTCAAGTGTTTCTTGCTGTTGAGGTCTCAGTCAGTTCAATCACTCAGTTCTGTCCAACTCTTTGCAACCAATGGACTACAGCATGCCAGACATCCCTGTCCATCACCAACTCCCAGAGCTTACTCAAACTCATGTCCATAGACTTGGGATACCATTCAACCATCTCATCCTCTGTCATCTCCTTCTCCTACCCTTCTGCCTACAATCATTCTCAGTATCAGGGTCTTTTCCAATGAGTCAGTGACGCATCAGGTGGCCAAAGTATTGGCGTTTCAGCTTCAGCATCAGTCCTTCCAATGAATATTCAGGACTGATTTCCTTTAGGATTGAC